GTTAACTTCAAACATTTTAAATCCCACTCAAATACCCAGAATATTCAAAATCTAAAAATTTCAAAATCCAAATATTCAAGATTGAAATAAAATCACAAAAACACTTAAAGCAAAATCCATCCACTCTTCGCAACAGTTTGCCGAGATGGACAAATTTGAAAATATACTTCAACTCATAAAGAACTAGTGCTTGGTCGAGAATATCACTAGGATTCATTCTCAATCCATCTCTTGCCGGCAATGACATATCACGTGTCCTCTAATCGGTGCTTCTGCCACCAGATAGCACCGCAGGTAAATGATTATGGCCAGAGCCCTCTGAACCTGATGATTTGCAACCAAATGACACCTCTAAATTATTGTCATGGCTAGAGCCCATAAGTTCCTCAATGACACTAAATTCATGAGATATGAATCAATATGATATAATCGATAGGGGACAAAGCCCTTCGTTAGCTGAGGTGGACTTAAATGTCTCCTAGATAAATATCCAACCCAGTTCTATAAGGTATCCTTGGATGACGCAACCCATAGCTGCCGACAAGGATCCTTCTATTAGGTTGGGTTGACTACCTCCTCTGACTAAGTAGACCAGGGACCAATATGGCCCGAGACGACGGAACCATTGGATCTTGATTGGGTCCATCATCCATTCCCCCACCATCCGCTTTAAGTGCAAGATGATGAAATTTATGTTTTAAATATCAAATCTCCAAATTCCGAATGCCCGTGCTACTACTATATGTGAGATAACCCATATCTCTATGTATCTGATCAATGACTAGCCTTAATCGAAAGTTCGCTCTCGCTATCGGAGGGGTAATTAACTATTGGGGCTTGTGCCTATAGGAAACCAGAACTCAGATCATAAATTCCTCGTAAAATGAGGGAAAAATCTCTGGTTAGTGACTTTATCTATATACCCAATCTTCCTTCCCAAAATTTATCCAGGAACCTAATTCGTTAAAACTCCCCGAAAGCACAGGGAGGCCGGGGTGCGGATTTTCGGAGCTCACATTGCCTCATGTATTCACATATTTGGTTAGATATTCTCTCATTCACTTATATCTCTTTATGTATAGCCCAATATATTTCTTCAGATGCTTTTATGCTTTTATGCCTCCCTATAAAAACACATGATACCTTGGTCCTAATGCTTCATTACAAGTAAACATGCAGTTTGCAACCAAGTAATTAATCATACGAACCTTTCACAAATTTTGTGCAACTCATGAAAAAATCATTAACATTTATAGTATATACAAGCAATTCATAACATGTCATAACAGTGCATAAGAGTTTGCATGTACTATAGAAGGACCTAGGAGATTAATCAATGCACATAAATTAATATTCATGAATCCCAAAATGCAACTACAGGTAACATTAATAATGTTAATACTTTGCTATCAAGATACTACTACTAGAGTTTTTGTCAGCATATATAAGCCCCTAAATTACTCAAATATCATATAATAGAATGTAACCAGTGAATACTTAATAGAATCATGTTAATATATGCAAAATAAATACAACAGCATACAGGAAGTTACATAATGAAAATTGTCTATTATTGACATTATTACATTAATGACATGTGCTTAAATAAAATACATTAAATGATATGTAAAATAAAATCACTAAAATTTGAGGTAGGGTTACTGTAGTTTACTTCGTGTTGAACAATTTTTTTAACCGGCCTTACTCACAAAAATGCCTTTAAAACTTGAAGTCTTAGCTTTCTCTATTCTCTCTTTTTCTTCATTTTTCTCTCATCACTCATAGCACTAGAAATGAGAAGAGAAGCTAAAAATGAAGATTTTGGATATGATTTAGCATCTGTGTTAATAATTAAAGAAGGTATTGTTATAATTATATAAATTATTTGGTTTCAATTGTAAAATTTACATAAATTATTTTATATCTTAAAATCCTAAACTCTAAAAATTATGAAAAGATAATCAGTAATAACTAAAATATGGTATCTTGATTCTTGAACAGAACTGTCACGACCCGTCCCGGATGCTCGATCTAACGAGGCGGGTACGAAAAGTCGGACGATAGTACATTTCCAAAAGTATTAAATAACTCATCATCAAAAACTTTTCTATAAACTGAAGAGCCACTAAACACAAAAATCTAATTTACCTGTTATCATTTGCACGGCGTCTTCTGTAAACATGTTCTTCTCTTTCTGCCATTTCTTTTCTTTAGGAACTTACCTGAAACATTTAAACTTGTGGTTTGAGTTTTCTAAGTAAACTCAGTGGGTAACTATATAAATTTATCATTATAATATAATTTAACATATATTCTATCCTTTCTTAATCTTGTTTCTTTCAATTCATTATCTTAATACTTCTTTGAATATTTTCATTTAAAATAATTTGAAGTATTTGTTATCTTTAATATTTTATTTATATTTCCTTTTCCCATTTAATTTGCACAGGAGCACCGTCTCAAAGTACCCAAAGGTACAACCTTTTCCATTTGATTTCCTTCTCCCATTTCCTTCAGGTCTTCGATGCTTGATCTTCTCTTGAATCAATTTCTCTTCTTGTTGAATCCTCGCGGGATCAACACATACAACTTGATCTTTCACTTTCTAAAACCCTAAAATTCAAACAATAACTTTCATGTAAAACTTAAAATTATAATCCCATAATAAACTTATATAAAAAGAATTTCACTTACGAATGAGAATTTCTCAAACTCTCAAAATCCTTTCTCTCCCAATTTCCTTTTTCTTCGCTACAATCTCTTCCCTTTCCTTCAAGAAATATATCGTTCACTTTAAACGATGTAGGAGGAGAATTTATAGGAAAAATCCGAAAGAATTTCAACAAACCTTTTTTTTTCTAAATTTTCCTCGGTCGTTTCTTCCTTTCGTTGCAAATTCTCTCCAAACCTTTGCTTCTATAACAATAAGAACGAAAAGGAGTTGTTATTTCTTATCCTAGAAGGTAATCATTTGCTAAAATTGGAAAACGGAACTTATCTCGCTCTCGCACGAAGCCCTCGGTCGTCCGCCCGATATCTGTTCGCGCGAACTGCTTTTTCCGCGACTCTTCTGTCCGCGGTATTAATAGGTTAGGCCGGCCGGTTCACTTGAACCGGCCGGATGAACCGGTTATTACAAGAACTGTAATAAGTGAGTATTACAGCTAGCTCCCTACTATGGAGTGTCATCGGTGGAGAAGTTATATTTTTTAGATCTACTAACACTGCCAAATTGGTCCTTGGTCCGACCTGCCATTTCATGTGTAATTCAGGTCGGGTTAGTAGCTCTTCCCCTTCTCTTTGGTGTTACCCTCAGGTCCACCTAGCTTATGCACCCCATCTGTTCGATTTTTGTCTTTTATAGGTTCCACAATGCCAATTCCAAGTAGACATTAAAACCATATGTGCAGGAAGTATAGTGATAAGTTTAGGGCTTCTATATGCATAACCCAGAGCTCCATTTACATCTTGGAGAGTTGTGTTAGATGTTGATCATTAGTTGAGACCAAAATCCAATATAACACAATTCTCCCACACATTTAGTTTCATAAAATCATTACTAGATTTCCACTTTCCTAACTATGTTGACAATACCTTGTTTGTTGCATTGCAATATATGTTAATAAATATGAGTGTTGTGGAGATTGAGAACATTTGTTCTCAAAATCCCATATATATTATCTGGGTGAATCCTGGACCAATTTGTGCACCTCCCCCTGGTCTTCCTATTTACACAAAATTAGACGTTATTCTTATGGATTAGGTGAATTGAATTGTTTGTACTCTTTCAGCCCACCTAATTTGTACACATACATATTCACCTGCACACATACACCCCTTTGTATTATACTTTCTTTGAGATTTTCATCCAAGGGTTTACATTGTATTGTTAATTGCTTTTGTAATAGACATAGAGTTTATTCATTGAGAAAGCACTTGTGCTTTCAAATTTTTTTAATCGTTGTTGTAATATTTCAGGGTTAATGTAGTAAACCAATTAATGTGATAAAATCTTTATTTTCTTTGTGTGCTTATATGTATGTGCTGTTGGACCATGCCCATGCCCTAGAGAGTAGGATAGAAGATTGAGAGGGTGCCATTGTGTGATATAATTCTAGACTTGTCATGAGCCTATACAAATGATTATGTTGCATTATGCATCGTAAGTTTTGTAGAAGTCCAACAGCTAGCAACTGGAAATGAGGGAGGAGGGACGGGTGGCTCGTGAAATGTTGAGAGTCCAATCAAAAGTTACTTCGTGCCCTTGTATAGAGCTAACTAGTGCTAGAAATAGGCGGAGTTGATTGTTTAAGAGAAGAGGGCTCACTTGTGTTGAGGCCAAAGTGCTGCGCCAGCCATGTGAGAGCAGCCTATTTAAAATATGCCTCTTCACCCCTTTTGATGTCACAGTAGGAAGGGGAGGGTGGATGAGAACTGAGCGTGCTGAGATTTCCAAGTCGATATTTCTCTTATTGCGCAAGCAGGGATGGATTTAAATGATTCCATGCTAATTACATTCTGAATCACAAAGAGTGGCCGGTGACGACTAGCACCTGCCTTGCGTTAGCAATGTGTATCGAACTAGAATTGACTAGGGTTGAGGAGTTCAACATAAATATGATATTCAGCCATTTGCACTTGTTATGATTTAAACCCATTCCAATGCATAAATATATACTTTATTAGATAATGTCCAAAATCAGATAATTCTTTTATTTCCATTGGTACTCTAATATGCCATATCATGCATTATGCAAAAATCATGGATGCATTTTGACTTTCTACTTTTTAACACACTATGGATTGTGCAAGCACATCCAGCACTAGCCAAGTAGCCATGCATGCATATAGGTAAGGATTGCACTATTGACGCAACTCTAGATATTCAAGATTGTATGCTAGATATTTTTTAATTTATGGTATGTTTCTATTGATTATTATTAGTCTCAATTACATTAAGTTAAATGATAAATCCTTTAAGATTGATTTCTAATTTTCAGGTGGGAAATAATCCGTATGATCCGAGAACAATGGTTTTCATGGACTACCGTGACCACGTGAAAGGAAATATGACTTCTTCTGATGAAGAATATCCAACTTTTCTTTATGTCATGCCCATGTCATCCACAAGAGTCTTTTTTGAGGTTTGCTTTCCACTTTTGTTTTCATGCTTGTTTTGCGTGAGGTAGTATTCCGAGTGTAATCTAATTGCAGGAAACTTGCTTGGCTTCAAGAAACGCCATGCCTTTTGATCTTCTTAAAAGTAAGCTAATGTCCCGCTTGGATGCTATGGGTGTTCGCATATTGAAAATATATGAAGAGGTAAGATGTTGGAGAAACTTAATATTCATCAATTATATAAACCTAGTTAATTGTACATTCATTTCGGAGAAGAGATGCTTTTGAATGGACTATGCCAAACATTTTATTCTTCCTATGGTTTCATTATGAGAAAAGAATTTTGGTTCGAAACCCATCAAGAATGTTTCAGAATATGCAGCTTCTTTCATTTAGCATTATGCATCATTAATCTATTTAACTGTTGGAAAGTTATTTTTTTATAATTTCCCATAAGTAAAAATCAATGAAACTTTGTTAGTATTGAAATTGACTAATACCGCTACTTGGTGTAAAATGAAGAAAAAAAGGCACAATTGAAGTTCACATAATTGTTGATTTTTCTTTTAAATGTTGTTTCATTTCTTGCAGACTTTTTGATTTCTTAGCTATTTTAAAATATTTCTATGATACATGCTATAGAATAATATTGCTTTTAGCTGCTTTTCTCCTGGCCAGTTGTTTTTTGACGTAGGCTCCTTGTTTCACATAGATTGCTTGTGCATTAGAAGCACTTTGACCTTTTTATTTGAACGGGACTTCTATTAGGAGGGTGGAAGACCTAATACCTAAGTTTCTCAGTATATTATTAAATATATTCCCCTCAACCCATAAGCTTACGCTAATGAGGGCCACTATTTCTATACTAGGACTTTGATAAGCTTCTTGATTGATCAAGAAGGGAAGACATCTTTTGAGTAGGTGCAAACTCCCAGAGCAAGCGAGGAATAAGAGAAAACAGAAAATTTATTTCATTTATAATGAATACATCCTTTACTTGCTATTTATAGAGTTTTTCTTAACCCATCCAGCAAGGTCTTTTATTAGAACGGTTTGTTTAAACAGTAGATACAATAATATAAAAAAATTATTTTTTATTAATACATCTATTGCTTGTAAACCAAACAGGTCTATTTGCTGAACTGGAAGCCTATAACCGAATCAGTTTGCTGTTTGGATCAGCTGGGCGAGCTAGGCAGCTGGGCTACGGACGATGGGATGCTGTTTGGAACAAGTGGTTGGCGTTTGGGGCAGCTTGGTGGGAGCGGTTGTAGTAGCTGGATGGAGACTGGAGAGTTGATGTCTATACCTATGTCCGTGTTCTTTTTAACTCTTAGTCTATGTTTCACCGATACGGATACGGTGACATGGATATGATACGATACGGATTCGGGACATGTCAATTATTAAAAGTACATGATACAGATACGGTGTGAATACAACATTATAATTTACGAAACATACATGAAAATTAAAAAACAATTATAGCATAATAATTGAAATGACAAAAAAATATTAAAGCAACGTCATATTTAATCGTGTAGCTTACAATATTAAAATAAAAGTAAGCATAAAATTTTCAGTACAACATCAAATACATAAACATAACCTGTCTAGTGCATGAATTTTCAATTATCTGTGGAAGGAATAGTAGGATTAGCTTCATCAAGGACTTGCCTTTGGATGTCTATATCATGTTTAATAAATATCATTGCTTCCAATACATGCTCATCAAGTGAAAGATTAACAATCTCTAATATTCTTATATTATCAAGGGATTTAAATACATCTCTAGCAATATACCACATCTTGTTATCTCCTTCTATACAAGTTGAAGTTTTTCTTGATAGAAGTCGAAGGTTTTTTATGCACAAACTAAATCTTCTATCCGATGTGGAGTAATTTTGTTCCTCTTCATTTATTGGATGGAGTATGCGCTAGCTCCGATTTCTTTCACAATAAGGGGACGATGAAACCTGACCAAAAAGTTTTTATGGCGATTATTTAAAGTAGATGTGCTGAAGCTCCATAAATCAACCATCATATATTTGGATCCATTCTCCACCTATCACGTAAGGACTCTTGGTCACCAAAGTCTTCTAAATAACCAAAAAACTTAGCAAGCCTTATATTGACAATTCTTCTCTCATTTGAACAATAACATTTCAAACATGTCTTTTTTATATTTGATATTTCTAAATCTTTCTGTGGAGAAACTCGTTGATGATCTTTTTGCAAATATTCTTTATTTAAATATATTCAAATAATGGTAAAATAAAATAAAAAAGATAATTATTAATCTACAAATTGTGAAATAATAATGAAAGAAATTTTAAATTTTACCTTGGATTTAGTGAGCGAGCTAAGCAATGTAGAGGTGTGTTACTTTTTCTCTACCTATCTTCCAAAATATTATATAGATAATATCCTAGAAGCTGTAGTCTTCATAAAGTACCTTTCTTTCATATCTATATATGATTTCTTTTAACTTGGCTAATATAGAATTTCATATCTAATAAATAAGATATGAACAACACTTATCTGTATCCGCCACTCTTAACATATCATAAATTGGATCAGTGAAACTTAAGATGTACTTAATATCATCCCACCATTGATGTAGATACAATAAAAAAACAGACGCAATGGATAGAACTTAAAACAAACTTTATGAAAATAAAGATGGACAACTAAAACTTGACAAACACGACAAGAAATACTAGGAGATTTTTTAAGGAAATAAAGAAAATTAAAAACAAAAGCTATCCTCAGACAACCGTCAGTAAATCTACCATGATCATTGGATGCTTTCCCATCATTGGATAGCTAAAAAGAAAAGAAAATAAAATAGAAAACAAAATATACTATTGTTCAAATAAAAGAAAAGTACAGAAATTCTTGATAGCATCAACCATACGTCAGCTAAAACCTCTCTTCAACATATCTTGCATTTCCAACATCATCTTCTCGATAACAAGATCATTTCTCACAAATCACCATAGATTAAAGGGCATTTTTTATTTTTTTGAATCTTCTTAACATAACTATAATTGAGCAAAATCGTGTTTCAGCAACTGTAAGCATTTTCAAATTAGAGAAATCATTGAACATAGAGAGTTTCATGGAGAAATTCATAATAAAATTTCTAATTACAACTATATCTCCTGCAATCACATGATCCAATGACATTCCTTATAAATGATCTCATTTGACTCCGTATTCTTTGCCGCATAAATGTTCTTCAAAGAAAGATTAAGCATATGAACAACACATGGTGTCCAAAAATCTGAGGATATGCTTGCTCAATAAGGAGGCATGCAACTCTAAATACTGGTACATTATCAATATTGACTTGAATGATATTTGAAGGCTTAATCATCATGATTATTTCTTTGATCAAATTAGAAATAAAGAACTTTACTTTATATTGTCCTTCACAGTTTACAGCTTTAATAAACATAGAGTAGTTCTCTGTTACATCTATGAAGTTGATAAGTGATATTATTTGTGGATCTGTCTACCCATCACAAACCAAACTAACTCCTTTTTCCTTTCAAACTCTTTTAGTTGGCTCAAGCAATTTTTCAATGTTAGCCCTCTTGCTTTATAACAAAATTGTTCTAATGTCATTGTATCGAGGTGGAACGTAACTTGTGAACTTATTATTACAAGCATATGTAAATGCATTCTTGTAATGTAGATTTCTCGTCAGGTTGAAAGGAAGGCCAGCTGAGTAAAATATTCTTGCTATTTCTCCATCTAATTGTTCTCTCATTTGCAAATTAAAAGCTTTTTCCAAAGAACTAGCTCCAACTGTTTTTTTTCTTTTAGGTTCGTATCTCTCTATCCTAAATGGCCATTTGTTCACAGTAATATCATCAGTTAAAATTGAAGAAGATGAATGATATGAAGCTTGGGTATTTGGAAGTGGAATCTCTTTAGGAAGTTCTCTTCTACTCCTTTGCTCAGTTTCACTAACATTCTTTTATAATTTAGCTAATTGTGATGAGTTTATTTTTGGACAAGTTTTAATCCTATGCCCAACAATCTTTAACAAATAAGCCTTAACTCTGTAGTATGATCATTTATATGTAGCATTACAGTAATTGTATTTGAATGCAACATTACCAGCACCTTCAAAAGTTTTTCCTATTTTTGTGACATGGTTCCACAAAGGTTTGGTATCTTCGATGTTGGGCTCTGATGAACTATCAGGAGTCCCACTTTCACCGCAACTAGTGCTCATTATCCTAAGAAAAAATATAATGATCGACACAAATTGTGGATTCAAATGATCGATATATATTGACAAATTTTCATGATATAATATATCTATATATCATGAGATAATTTAAGAAAATAAGCTTTCAATCTAAGTTTCTAAATAGTTTGAATAAGCTACAAACCTATTTATACAATTGTTTGAATTTCAAGATGAATGTGTAAAAAATGAATATTCAATTAGCCACCATGCAGATAATCATTAATAAATCCTCAATTGTATGAAGATAATCATTAACCAAACAACAAACATATAAACCATAAAGAAGAAATTCATAACTAAATGAAATAATCCCTTAATTAACATCATAAGGGATTCTATCAATAAGCACAATCTCATGAGTATAGAACTAAGGCGGAGAGCAATATATATGTTAAACATTTATATTAGAATAGAATTCCTAAACCCTAAAATTGATATATAAAGTAACATTATTGTTAGCATGAATATATACGTGAACACATGATTAGAGATTCATTAATATATAAGTGGATGCATAATTAGAGATTCAAAGTCACAATCTCCGGAATGTCACCGACATTCAAAAACAACACTTTATTCAATCAATTAGGGATCGGCTGAGATGGTGGAACAAATTCCAAGGCGATGATACATAAATCAAGGAATTTATCCCTCGACGTCGCCCATATGATGTTTGATCATAGAACGGATTTCGCCGTTATGTCCGAAATGTCGTCGACTTTCAAAAAATATATATATTATTCAATCAATTGGGATCGACCAAGGCAGTGTCATGAATTTCAAGGCGACGACGTGCAAATCGAGAATTTAGCACTCAACATCACCCAAACAAAGTTTGATCGTAAATCAGACTTCGCCATTTCGTCTGGAACGTCGACAATACCCAAGATACACGACCAATTTGCCCAAAGAAGATTACATGGAAAAATCAACACGTTAA